AATACCAACAAATTATTTCTTTTTCTTTTTGGCGTAAGTACTTAAAAGAAAGTTAAAATTTAAATATAAAAGGCATTACTTATTTTTGACCGTGGCCCTGGATGGAGCCAAAGAATATATAAAATATCCTTTTTATATTCGTATAGTGGTAAATAGTAGGTATAAAAGTAAAATCAAAGAAATCCCTAAGAAATAAATTGAAATATAAACTGAATTTTTGTATTCTTTACTTTTTATATCGTACATTATCAAAATTAAGTCAATTTAAATAGAAATTTATGAACCCTTAATGGATTTTTGAGCAAACATTAAGGCATTGCTATTATGAAAGAGAAATGAAAATATTTTTCATTAATTTACAGTTTCATAAATATGATTATATGTAAGTAAGTATATATAAATAGATGTAACGTACGTTTGGATTTGTAACAAAAGAGAAAAAGGTTAAAAATTTTGTTTTTTTGAGGATACAAAAATTAAAAAATCCTATGTTCAACGGTATATTTTTTAATTGGATTTTAATGGAATGGAATGAGAATTGAATTGATTGCAAGCGAATGAAATTTAGTTATACATTAATAAACGTTAATTAAACTTATATTATAACAGAAAGTTTCGGTTTTTTTTTATAATTTAAAAAAAAATTAAAAAAAAAATTATTTATTTTAGTATGAGTACAATATTTATTCTTATACTCGATCAATAAGCTTTTATACGTATACTTATTGACATTTAGGTACCTGTACTACGAATTGCTTAGAACACCTTCTTCGGTTTTGCTTACGATATAGTATAAAATAAATTAGTGTTCTTATGTACATAAATTTTCTTTAATTCTGTAGGTAATTACTTGGGTACTTACTTAATTAAAAAACAAATGCGAATTTTAATGAAAATTGATAAGCCATAAAATTTTTACTTAAATTACTGGTCTAATTTTTTAATTAATTAAAATAAGTAAGTATACACCTAGTCGATTATTTGACATACTTAAATGTAAAAATATTTTATGACTCAAATATTAAGAAAATATTTGTGCTTCTATAAACTCTGCTCAGTAAGTAAATAGTATACCAAAAAAATATTTTAATATCAATTTTTAATCCAATAAAGAGTGCCGTTTTCTTATTAGGTTTCATTTTCGCTGAGAAAAAATTGTTACATAATTTGACAACTTTATACAACATTTTGTTTTTTTGGTTAACACGTTCAAAAGGAAAAGATTTGAGTATACTCGTAACTTATTAAAATTTATCAAAACAATTACTCAATTTTTGAAAAAAAAGAAAAAAAAATTGGGAAATTTTATTGAGCAAGGGAAATATATTGCATTGCAACAATACTATCAATACGAGGAAATTTTGAATTTTAAATAAAAATACAAAAAATTTCGAATGACATTTATTTCTAAAATTTAGTGCAGTTACATACATGCATATATTATATGCATATCTCTTATTGCATATTTTCTTGCTGTTATAACTGCAGGACCAAATTACCACACTTCAAAATTATTTTTGTAAAAGCGAATCTGCTAAGCAGCCTATACCAAATTGTATGGCGTAGCTCATTTAAACTATATATATTTTGTACGGAAGAATTTCCACTTTGAACTTCTTTAGCTAATTAAGTGAATTAGTAGAGTTTGAAAATTTCTAAATCTAAAATATTTTTAAGATCTTATATTTCGACTCACTAAAATAAATATAAATAACTTAAGTAAGTAAATCAAATATTGTAATTGAGCTTTTTTAATGTAAAAAGGCAATTAATATTTTTAATACTTATTTATTATGAACTCACTAAAGTACCTAGCCTAAAATATTTGAAAGTAAGTTATAGTTTATGTCTACGTAAAAAAAATTCCGAATTTAATTTAATTAATACAATAACCTTTTTTTGTCCACATATCTATTCCATTAACGCCATATACTTATAATTTATTGTATATATGTATGTATGTAGGTAGGTACCTACCCACATTTAATATTGTACACTAAAAATTCAAATATGAATTATGAACCTTTATTGTAAATAATTCAATTTAATATTATTAAAATTTTATATACTTACTTACTTATTTTTTTTAACAAGTAAGTGAGTATATCTCAAATCTATGTACTACAATATCTCAAGGTTAAGGACAATGACTTGCTTTCTGAGTAATTTTATATATTTATACTTATATTTTTTTATAATACGCTATACATATGTATATACTCGTAAGTATATATACTTAGTGGAAAATCCTGACAAAATTTTATTTTAATTAAAAAATTATGCTTATAACACCGGTATCTAAAATTTTTGCATATATAAAATATTTAAATACTTAGTTATATAATAAAGCAGTATAAGTAGTTAACGCTTCAACAATTTTCCAAAAAAAAAAAATAAATAAAGAATAAAATAAAAATTAAAAAACCGTTGTCTTTGTTACCGTTTTTTATTATAAACAGGGTACATACTTAAATGCCTGTGAATAACCTAAAATAATAAATAGTTTTTATTGTTCATATAATACACACATACGTACTTATGCGAATTAAGAAATAACTAAAATAAGAATTATACTTTATTATTACAAATTTGTATTTTTATATACTATAAGTTCAACTACAATTATATATTCAAAGTATGCATATGGGCAAGTATATTTAATAGTATTCACATAAAAATTATACAAATAAATGTACTTACATTACATACACGTAGATCAGTATAGGTATATAAATTATATTAAATTGAGTTTCACTCACTCTATTCATATGTAAACAAAGGATAATAACTAGTTAGTTACGCTTTTTAATTACTTATTTCTTGGAGCTCATTTTTTTTTTCATTTATAGTCTCGTTCATTTATGAAAGATCTTAAAGCGATTTTTATTTCCTTGTAGTGTGAAAAAATTTACATACATATGTATACTTATGTAGGTAGGTGTTTACATACAATTATGACTTTATGAGTACTTCTATACCTAAATAAGTACACATAAGCTGTAGTTTCAGGGTTTTCTTTTCTGAATAAGTTGACTAGTCTGAGTTATTGTTTCAATTTTTAATAAATAAAATTAGATTTTATGAACATACAGGAGTTATAAGTTAATATAAATAAATTATATTTTATTATTTAATCTTTAATGTTTAATAAAAGCGACTACATTGCACAGAACAATAAGGTTATAAATATTTTAAAAATCGCCCCATAACGTTAGAGTTTATGCCCATGTTTTTGTTCTACAATACTCTAAGTCTACTCGGTAAATAAGTAATACATGACAAATAACGGCAAAACTATATCCAAAAATTCATAACTATTTGAATGTAGTTAATGTAAGCGCTTTTATGAGTTTTCAAATAAATATTCTATTAAGTACTTATATAAAAATTTAATTGAAAGTAAGTAAGTATGTAAATTTTATTAATTAACAAAAACTTGTTTTGCATTTTAAATGTAAGAATATTGTTTTGTTTTTTATCATAAACTCATTCATTTACTTTATTATGCATTAAACAAATATTTTAAACTAAATAGAAATGAAAATTTGATATTTTAACTTCAGAAATTCATTATTTAATTATACCGAAACAAAATTCTAAGTGGATGTTTAAAAGCGGTATACTTAAACAATGAAAAATAATTAACTTAAATTATTAAGCAAAATAACTTTTTTATTCACCTAGGTAAGTAGGTGCCCAAATTTTTATTCAAGATCAAAAACGTCTTGTGAGGTAAATTTACTCACAAAAAAGATATGTTATACTTATATACTTAAGTACATTTTATTGCTGATCAATTAATAATGGAAAATAATTTATGGATCTTCAATTCATAAAGTTAGAACTTTTATTTTAAAATTTATCCCGAGAAAACTTTAATGTGAATTGAAATACTTAATTTAGTAGAAACTCATTGTTATATTTTATTTAAAAACTCTAGTAAATAGTACCTGTGCTATTTATACAGACCACAAAAATTTAAGATAACCATTCTAAAGAAAGTTTTTAATATTAAGGATTTTTGTAAAAAGATTAAAGAAGTATATAAGTAAATACTTGCATTATTTTTCATATACTTTATAAGATTAAGAATCCGAAAAAATTGAATACACTAAATACTTACACTAGATACTTAAGCATAAATATCTATTTTACCTAATTATATTAGCGAAGTAACACTTACTAGGGGTAGTAATGAAAAGATTATATTAGGTTATATTAAATTTTATATAAGTGAGTATCTATATACCTATCTATCTATATTTTTATATTATTTAATCAATATTATGATATAAATATATATATATAAATACTCGAATAAAAATATCGAACTACCATAAATTTATTTAATTAGATGATATTTGTGCTCAGCTAATAATTATTATAAAAGTAAGTACAAGTAGGTAGGTAGGTTAATTAAGTATATTAAACTATTACGTTACTTAACTAATTAGTTAGTTAAGTATGTATTACAAATTCCATAATGATCAACTCAAGAAAACTACTTTCGATTATTTGTTTGAAAGATCAGTTAGTTAGGAAGGTGTACCTCTTATTAGATGTTTGAGCAATTTCATTGATGGTTAAAGACAATTAATGCAATTCTTTCTATTCAAGTAACTATGAAAAAAACAAACTAAACAAACTAAATGGCTTATAATTCAAAATAAGGTAAATTAAGAAAATAAGTAATTAAACTTATCTTACTTAAATTTACTAGATTATCAAATTATTTATTATAATAAATTTAAATATTAAGTTAATAAGGTATTTAAACCTAATTTAATAAGGTATTTTATATGCCTAACACGTAAGGTGTAAATTATCTTATCAATTTTATATACCTACCTAATCAATTTTTTGTATTAAATATTAAATATATAAGTATCTATGTATGTTATGAACTAACATTCAACGACCACATCAGAATAATATTGTTTAAAAGTATATAAAGTATTTATATAATATAACTTATATAATATATTTAATTGAATAATTACCATTTTGCTGTTGTTTCCACTCTCAATTCATGATATGAGGCAGTAAACTGAAATTTAGCGGCACGCTTATTAACTCTTTGAAGGCGTTTCCAAACACTTCCCATATTTTATTACTTTTGTATTAGTTGGGTATAAAATTTTAATTTTTTAATCGAATATTATTTTTAATTTTTTAAAAAATCAAAAAAAAAAAAAAATAGCGTACTATTTGCGTTTTAAAAGCGTTCGTAAATACAATCAAACGACAAATGCAAAATCATGAAACTATTCACAATATTCAAAGAAAAATTTTAATTTGTTATTAAAATTTCTTATACATATTAAGCTTGTAGGATATTTCGTATGAATGAGCGTTTAATAATTCTACAAATATATAAATTAATGATACACTTATATAATTTAGAACTACGTAGGTACTTGGTTGACCTATCTCACAGCTGATACTAAAAATATTTTTTTAAATTTACTCAATTATCTTATAGATTTTTCAATTTTTTACCGCATTAAATTTTTTTAATACATTTTACTTTTATTACTAATTTTAAATTTTACATTATTATAAATATGTATTTATAATGAGTTTAAATTTTATTTCAATTTTTTTTGTTATTAGTACCATAAAGTTATTGTGTAGTCTCGAAAATTTGTAAACTCACTGCGTAGGTAGTTATAAATACATAATACATGTATATTACCTATGTATCTTTCTAATTTAACTTTTTTACAAATTTACTTGTAAGAAGTTGTCAAAATTTTCTTTATTTAGAAATAGAATATATTACGATTAAATAAGTATATTTTTTTTTAAATTTATGATTATAAATACATTTACAAAAATTCATTTAACCTTGAAGTTAAAAAATATTTTGCAAAACTAGAGAATTCCATTCCAAACATTAGAGACGACAATCACCAAAAAGTGACGTCACTTTGAACATAAATTTTTATTTTAAATTGTATTTTTTCTCTTAGAAGAACTTTTAATTTCTTTTTTTAAATTTCAATTAGAATTTTATATTTTTATGTATAGAACTTATTAAATTTATTTATTTTTACATGAAAACCACTATATGTATTTATAAATTTATGTCTTGAATATACCGCGACAATCATTTATATATCCAAAGAAATCTCGAGCTTGACTAATAAAATTTTATTTTTATAAATGTACAAAGTGAAGTTTAATTCAATCAAATATGTCAAAAAAATTGTTAATTGTCATGGATGACGTAACAATGCTTCTCATCTAATTCTATTGTGAATTAAAAATAATAAACAGAGCTGCCGTTGTCACTATACTTTACTTTTGCAGTTATTTCCATAATATGGCAAAACATATTTCATTGGATATTGGCAAATACGTTGACGTGATCTTACATCACGTAAGCTGTAGTATTTAAATAATAATAAGACAAAAGGTCAAGTAACAATCAAATCATTAGGTTTAGTTGTTCAATATTAAAAGAAAGGTTAAGTAGAATCATTGACAAGATACAAACGTAGTAATATCATTTTCTTTTTTTTCTCCATCTTTGAATTTTTATAAAAACAAATTTTTACAATTTCAATATTAACTAAATATATTGACAAAGTTTTTTAATATCAAATAAAATCATGCAATACTGTTCATTAAATCATTCAATACTGAGAGAACCAAATTCGACAAATTGTTAACGTATGGATTGCTTACGTACAATCATAATAATGTTTAGTAAAAAATGTTAGTCAGAAAAATAATAAAATAGCCTTTACAATAATGAAAAAAATTATCGAAATATAGGAAAATAAAATACATAATAACTTTCCTCGCTACACAAAAATTAAATAATAATATAGTGCTAATAAAGATATATACATAGATTACAAAAATGAACTTGTGAGGTATTAACACGATTAATTTCACTTGAAAACGCTTGTGTAACTTTTTTACCCAATAATAATAATTTGGTGGTATTACATTCAAAATCTGTTTATTATGGAAAATTAAAAAAAAGCAACCCTGGCGACCATCCTACTTATTTCAATTAACTCGGAAGGAAGCAAAATTAAAACTCAAAATGATTTGATAGTTACAAAAAGTAGTCGAACAAACGATTATTTTAAAGACTGCTTTGCATAAAGATTTTGGTTTTTCTATAGAAATAAGAAAGCAAATATACGATAAAGATCTGATTTAAATCCAATTATTGTTGTTATAATAGCACGTATATGAATTTTATATTTAAAATGATATTGTTTTAATTAAAAAAATACTTGTTATCATAAGAATTTTATCTGTGATGATAAATCTATTTAAATGATATACAAATAAGATATTAAAATTATAAATTTACATATAAACTTTGATAATTCATATCACACAATCTAATAAAATTCATTTTAAGTTTTGATTTACTTTATTCCTTATTAACACTACGCATCTATTTTAAATTCTTTTTTAAATTTTCCTGCTATATATTCCCAATATTTTTTTCTTATAATGTCGTATTGTGTAGCCATTATATGGCATAAGTCCAAGACTTTATCGGCATCAGCGGAACTTTTTTCTTCATCCTCAGAATATTTTTCAATGTACAAATCAATTAAAAATGCTAATAGGTACGGTGACTTAACTTGATTGTTGAAAAGTTCTTCACAGAATTCTATAACTTCGGGGTATTCATTTAGCTTTCCATTGTTATGTTTTAATATGCCTCTTAAGTAGTTCCATGAGCTTTCATTATTTTTCACAATCTGTATTCGATTCCTTGTATACATTATTTCACGTTCTATTGTCTCTGGTGTTAAACCCAAATGCTTCAGCACAAAAAATCTTTGATTCCATGCTGAATTATTTCGTATATCTTCAGAAATAAGACGATCTACAAATGTTAATTCGTTTTCATACAAATCGAAAGTTTTTATTGCCCACTGGCGATGCTGCCAAGCATGATAATTTTTTGCATCCATGTTTAAAATAGTTTCTGTTAATGCTAACTCATTCGAAGCATCACCTAACCATTCAACTATGACGCGACGATGATGCCATACCTGGTAATTTTTTGGATTTTGTCTTATTACATCTTCTACATAATTTAATTCAACATTTAAGTCATACTGCAAATACTTCAAAATATCTCGCCTATATTGCCAAACTGTGTAATTTGCCGCATTTAATTTAAGAGCATCTTTTGTTAAATTCAAAGCTCTTTCTGATTTTTCACCAGATGTAAGGATGGCTCTAAAATAATCGTGAACATCTCTAAAGCGATCACTATACGCTATCATAACAACTGGGTTGTCACCATCATCTTGCTTTAAAGGAACAACATCTGCCCATTCTTTTCTTTGACTATATGGGACCCAGTCAAATCCAAAATCTTCTTCTGAACTGTCGTCACTCATTTTGTAAATATTTATTTAAAAATTAATTATGATAGGTCTGTATAGGTAGATAGAAAAAAAGAAACTGTAGATAACCTTTGAATGTAAAAATAAAATAGAATTAAAAATACTGTTCCACTTCAATTGTAAAACTAATTTGTCAATGTCATTTTACATTTGTTTTTGTACTTCCTACAATTGCTTTGACTTTTTAAATAAAGCGAGTGTCGAATACAAAACTGCTTTTTTCTAATTAGGCTGATCAAATACCGTGAATAAAATAATTTCCACCAATATTAGCTTGACACATTTATTTTTCAAGCAGTAATTTCACTTAATAGAGATATTTAAACGAAAAGATCTAAAATTAATCCACGAGTGATCTAAAATTAATTAGCAATTTCACAAAATATTCTGTTTTTATATAATTAAAAAAACAGAATATGTTTTCATGGACTACATAATTATGTATACACTACAAAATAACTTTAGAGTATTTGTTTGTTGATATCTAAAATTTAATTGACGTAGGCTTATAATTTTTAAATAATTTATTAATTGTTATAATGTGCACTATATCTTTGTTCTGAGTTTGAACGGCTGGTTTTCATTTTTAGTTGTCGTTTTACAAGTGTGCACGCACAGACTTATAACACTAACGTACCTATAACAAAATTGTAAACCTATTTTTGAGACTCGAAAAAACTGAAGGTGTCGATTTTAATTTTGACGTCAAATTAGTGAACAATCGCTTTTATAGAATTAGATTATTTTTCGTAACTAAAATTAACTAAAACTAAAATTGCCAAAATTATCTTTTTGGAATAAAGGAAGATAAAGAACGAAACAAGAAAGAAGAAAAAATAAATTTTTATTAAAAATTAAATGTATTTGGGAGCTTGAAATATGATGACACCTATCATATCAAAACAAACAGATTCGAAATTAAATTAGTGAAATTGTAGAACAAAACAAAAAAAAATTCAAGGTGAGATGGAAATTAGATATAAATAAAAATATTTAGTTGATGACAAGTTTTATATTAAAAATATTTTACTTTGTTTTAGAAATTTTGATCGATATAATGGAGAAAACAAAAGGAGCAACATTTTTTACTACTTCGGCTACTGAAGTTGATGAATCGTATTTTTCAGATACTCTAAATAAAACAAATATACCTAATGCAATATCTGGAGCTTCTAATAAGCTAGATAATAAATTTATGGATTTGACTATGGAAGTCTTACAGGAAAAATTTAAACGGGGAGAAATTGTATTAGCTGTAAATAAAATTGCAATTAACTTTCTTAAAACATAAATAAACTTTTATCTTTCATTTGTTGTAGGCCTTGGACGCTTATCAAGTGATTGCTAATGAAATGGCTGATAGATTACTCGCTCTTGTCTCCTCAACTGGTACTTACGGAATATTTTCATTTGCAACTACAAGACTACCACCTCGTACATTTTCTGATTTAACTATTGATTGTATATACGCAATTAACGATGATTTTCAATTAATTACAGGTTAAATTTTATATACATATACATCTTTTATTGTACCACATTTTACTAAACTAGAAAATTTTTAGATGTTAAAGGTAAAATTTCAAATTTACAATTTGAGCTTGTGACAACATGTAGTAGAGCGAAGTTTAGTTATTATATAACTAGTATGGATGTTTTTAATTTATTTTATTCAAAAGTACAAAGTGCTCAGTTAGATTATAAAAGTAGAAAACAAAAAGAAATAATGAATAATGCTGCTACAACAGGGGTTGTTTTATCACCAACAACCGTGGGTGCAATATCTAATTCGGAACCGCAAACAATCAGTTTTTCTTGGCTTGAATCGTATAGAACTCAAGATTACACAGCTATCGACAGATATATTGCCGATGGTTCAAAACCGTTAAAAAAAGGCGAATCCAAATTTCAAGATGAACTAAAAAAACATGAACATGAATACATAGTTTTTAAAAATTATAGGTGACACTTAAATATTTTAAAAACTTAAATCATTTGTAATTAAAACTATTTTTAAAGGATATATTGTGCCACATGGAATATAAATGGGCAACCATGTAATGATGATCCCTTAAAGGCGTGGTTAGCAGCAACTGATCTAGCACCAGATATCTACGCTGTAGCTTTACAGGAAATGGATCTGTCGCCTAAAGCTGTCACTTTTAGTGAGAGCCGACCTGATCCTATCTGGATGTAAAATTCATAACATAATTTTTGTACTTTTTATTCATTTTACTCATATTTTTAGTCGAAAATTCAAAGATAATTTACATTCAGATGCCCAATACGAAGAGTTAACATCTGTACGTTTGGTAGGAATGATGCTATCAATTTTTGTGAAAAAAGAACTAAGACAAAATGTTATAAGATATTCTACTCAAAGTGTCGGTACTGGAGCTTTAAATTTTATGGGAAACAAAGGTGGTGTTGCAGTTAGCTTGACATTGAATGAAGCTAGAATTTGTTTTGTAAATTCTCATTTGGCCGCTCACATGAATGAAATTGAACGTCGAAATCGAGACTATTCAGAAATAATGCGTTACTGTCTATTTTCAGAACATGATGGTACAAAGAAGTCAATTGAGGATCATGAGTATGCTCTATATGTACATGCTTATCACTTATTTCATTCAATATTCTTTTTAGTCATATATTTTGGATTGGCGATCTTAATTACCGCATAACGGAATATACTGGCATAGCATTAAATTATAATGACAATACTTCCTTATTCAAATTTGATCAACTACGAAGAGAAATGGCAGAATATAACGTTTTCAAAGGTTTCACAGAAGGAAAAATTAATTTTCGGCCTACTTATAAATATGATCCGGGAACAGATAATTGGGATAGCAGTGAAAAAAATCGTGCCCCGGCTTGGTGTGATCGAATACTGTGGAAAGGGGACAAAATAGAGCAACTGATTTATAACAGTGTGATGGAAATTCGTATGAGCGACCATAAACCGGTTTACGCGATTTTCTCCACAGGGGTAAATCTTTGTCATTTTTACAATGTTTAAATTATAATATTCATAAAAATTTGCAGATTAAAACAAAAGATGAAAAGAAATACAAACGTATTCATGAAGAAGTATTGAAGCGAGTTGATAAATATGAAAATGATAATCAACCACAAATAACTGTAGAAAAGACTGATATTGATTTTGATATTGTAACATTCAATGAACCGATGATACGCGATTTCACAGTAGCAAATAATTGTCACTTACCGGTCAAGTTTTCATTTAAACCAAAAAGTGAAGTAGATAAGAAAAAAATTTGTGAAGATTGGTTAACGGTTGAACCACAAAAGGGGCATCTGATAACAGGTTTTTTTTTTCTGTCTGTTTAGTTGATTAATTTATATTTATTGAAATTTTTATTGCAATTATATAGGTACAAGTTTAAGCATACGTATAAAATTAACAGTGGATTCTCGATTTGTAAATCATCTTCATAATAAACAAAAAAATAGTGTGGGTAAAATACCGCTAGACATATTAGTACTGCATGTTGAAGATGGTCGTGATATTTTCATTACAATTATGGGAGAGTATAAAGCAAGTTGTTTTGGTTTTTCTGTTGAAACTTTGTGCCGAATTGAACGCCCAATCGCTGAATATACTTTTAAGGAATTGATGGAAATTGTAAGAAAATTAACATGTTAATAAGAAATCAATGTATTTATACCATACTACCATTGTTATGAAAAACTTGTTGATTTTAGGAAAATTCAGTTGAATCATCCCAATGTAAAGTAACAATGCCGAGGGAAATATTTCTTTTGATTGATAATTTGTATAATAACTACAAGAATGTACCTTTACCATTATTTACCATTGATAGAAAATATTATTTAAGTCCTAATATAAATGAAATTAGAGATTGGTTAGACACATGGTCAACATTAGAATTTCGTATGTATAAAGTTCATCATTTCAATTTAATAGTTTTCATCATTTTTTTTTTTACAATTTGGTTTATTATTTAAGCTGGAACTCTTCCGACAACCGCTGAAGCATTGCTAATGATATTAGAATCACCGGAAAAACCTCTATTATACCCATATGAGGAAGCCTTTATGAATGAAGAAAACTTTGAATGTTGTATTATTATCCTGAATAAACTTTCAACACCCCGTAAAAATGTATTTTTACATATCAGTATGTTTTTAAGAGAGCTCATTGAACAAAAAATGGTTATTGCCGGAGATATTGGTAGGAAATATTAGATTTAATGCAAAAATTAAAATAATCATTAATTATATTTGTTTTAGCTACAATTTTTGGTAATATATTACTTAAAGGGAAATACACACCTGGAATGCGTGATGATCGTTGTAAAATTTTTATGTCTAAATGGTTAAGAAGTGATTTTACAAATTTAGCACGAAATCACATTGTATTTTAATATTATGTGTAGCTTAATTATTAAAATAAAAGCAATTTATCTTATTTATAAGAAATTAGTCAAATTTTTTAGCTCTCTTTTCGATAAGATTTATTGCTTATTTAAATTTTATAGTTTACACACTTTTATTTAAAATTCCTAAAAAAAAAAACTAATCTAATTAGAAAAATCATGCGAAAATTTTTTTTTTATTTAAAATTCTTTACGTTTTCTTTTACAACGAATTATATAGTAATGATTCAGTAATGATTCAGTAATTGTAGTATACAATATGTTTAACAACTTTGTTCTATTTTCTCAAAACAGCAAAATTATTTGATTAAAAGCTCTATTGATCTTACTTTAAAAAATATTAATATCTAACTGCAATATATCCGAAAATTAAATATAGAAAAACATTATATCAGATAAACATTGCATCTATATGTGAATCAGTTAAAATTATTGAAAATAAAATATATAATAATACATGATTGTTAAAAGAATATGCAATTTTGACAGTTTCAGTTTAATTAAAAATATTAATACGCTTGGTAAAACTTTATTCTGCTTTAATGAAAACAAATATAAAAATCACTAAATCTCTAAATAGTTTTGAAATAAGTTTTAATAATTTCTTTTTTCTTAATCGAAGTTATTTAGCTGTCTCTGTTTTTGAAAAAATAAAATATTGTTATGGAAATAATACATATTTTAAATAAATATGCAAAAAAATTATAAGAAAATTTATAATGTAATGTAAATCGTGTTACTTTTACTAAGTGCTTGCCAGAAAAAAAATAAAACAAATTTTGAGGCTGTAAATATAGTAACGCATTTTAAAAGATTGCAAGTAACATGATGGTCGATGCAATTTTTAATATCAAATTTCATTTTTCAGATAAATAATTAAAATTTTAATTCCATAAAATAAAAAGAATAAAATTAAAACATTTTATCATACGATTGACTATAGATTCATTTAATTTATTTTAGTAAAATATGAATATTATCATAAGATATGTGTGATACACTAAGGATTTTCACTAAAATTATTTTTTATTTCATCTACACTTTTAACGTCTTAAATATTTATGTATGTAAGCTCTTAGTTTTTTTGTTTTTAATAAAATATTTAGAAGGTCATGCAATATTCATATATATCTGCAGAATTATTTAACATGCATATAATTAATTGTAAATAGTTTTATTGTTATTAAATTTGATTGAATATATACATAAATTTATTAACATCACAATATTTTATTTTTTTCTTTGAAAAAAATTTTGCAAAGAATAAAGGTTGAGAATAAGAAAAAATAAAAAAAAAAAATTAAATTGTTGAATTGTTTTAAGTATATTGACGTAGAAAAAAAGAAACAAAAAAAAAAAAATATATTAATTATCTAAAATTCATTAATTTTATTTAAATAATGTTTAATTATTGTAAACACTTATTGCTGCTTAATATTTTATAAATTTAAATATAATAATTATTGTTAGAAATATAAGGAAAATTAACATGCGAAATTCTTTGAAAGCAATATATTTTTGTAATACATTTTATTTCCTCTATATAATTACAATAAAATTGATAATAATATAAAATTAATAAAATATAAGAACAGCACGGATGATTAAAATCTATATTATTTCTAATATTGTTTTTAAGATTTAAAATTACAATATTTTTGAAATACAAACAAATTACAGTACAATTATTATTTTAGTATATTGTTTTTTAATTAATAATAGTTTTTAATTACTCAATTGCATAATATTTTGTCTATATATATATATTAAACTACATTAAAATTATAATAGGTACATACCTACCTTCTTTCATTGCTTAGATAGGTTGGTAGATAGGTATCTATTGTTATTTATTTTAATTATAAAAAATAAGTTAATTAAAAACGTTAAATTAGGAATAATATTCAATTATTTCAATCAATAACGTTTTATAAGCATATTATATAGTTTCTCTTTTTTTTTCAAAAACAAAATAGTTTTCATCCATGCAGTTCTTTAATACACTTATAAATCAATCAAAGTATTTTATTGCATTTATAACATTCATCTATAATGTAAAAGAAAAATTCAAGATTATTTAAAAAATTAATATATTTTAAAGATTTATAAAAAATATATTTGATTATGAGTTTATCAGTATAGGTAATTAAATATGTCTTAAAATGTAAAAAAATAAAACTCTATTAAAATATGTTAACATAAAATCTTGTTTCTCTTTTCTTATACGATATTATGTTGGATCCAGATAAAGAAACCAATGTAAGTATATACAAATTACAAATAACTATTATTGGTTACAAAAATTGAAACATAAACAAATGTTAATTTGCAAAAATTCAGAAAAAAAATTCACATAAGTTTTAGAGTATATACCTGCATTTGAATTTGGAAATGTTTTTTATTTGAAAATAAAAAATGTTTATATATACATATTTTAAAATTTGTTTAAAAGTTATTCTTTACTTAACAATCTGTGACGTGTGTATTTGTAAAAAAAAAAAAACTAAACTTCGCTTAAAAAAAAATTTAAATAGGCTTATTTCAATTTATTGCCCATCATTTCATTATGCTTTCAGTTAATCATTATCGTATCATAAATTCGGTTGATTCCCATTGGCTTTAGTTTATTATTTTTTTGATAAGTATAGTGGGTACATGCCTCTATTTATCTACCATATGTATACCTACGTAAGCATATACATATGTACAAATGTATATCACCTACAAACATAATTACATACGTATATGTATGTACCAGCCCAATATTCAATTTCAGGAATTCCCCATTTTTAAATCTTATAAACATAAAATAAATAATATTCGTGTTAAAAATAAGCGGTAATAAAATTTACTTTGCACATAAAATACATTTTTATCAAACGAAATTTAAAATTATACTTATATCCACATATTTTTTTTAGCTTGATCGATAGAAAATCTTTTAAACTTATTTTAATATAATTTATATGTTTTTTCAATTTATAATAATGAAATGTAAAAAATAAATAAATCTTTGTGTGAAAATACTAATGTAATGAATAACAAATTAAAAATACAATGATAAATATAAAAGTTATGTATTGCAAAATTAAATATTTTTCATTTTATGATGATGAAAGAAATATTCAAGAAAACTATATTTGAATATCTTTTCTTCTATCACATTTTTATTTATGTTTTTGTTTTTTTTTTTTGTATATTTTATCAGCTATTTACAATTTCAATATATGTAGGTAAGTATGTAACTGCAATTAACAAAATATGTATATATATATTTCTGTATATATGCCTAATAAGTACATACAACACCATTTAAATGTTCAATATGTCCTTTCAAGTTTAACTAACTAATTTGTTCAATATTTTTTAAATCACATATTTTTTCCCATTACACAATATAATATTGAACAGTTAGGAATATTTGACCAAATTTTCTGAAGGAATTGTTTAGTTACTGCATTTTTTTAAAGGAATTTCGGAAATTTTTGTATAATTAATCTACATATATATGTACGTACATATATGAATATTATTAATTTTTTCTTATTTGTCTAAAGGATTTTGTAGTCTTTCATTTCTGCAATTTCATATACATACATGCTACTTATTAAATTTAGTATTCAATTCGTTTATTTGCGTTTTGAACTATAGCTGATTTTGATTAAAATATCTCTGCAATATGTATTGTTCCACAAAATAATGTACTTATCTAAATTGTTTTTTAAACATGATCACTGTCACTATCATCAGTTATTTGATGAACATTTCGTTGAATAAGTCGTAGTTGTTCTATATAATTGGATACAGTCCTTGATTGAGCGGCTTCGCTGTCAAAATCGATATCATTTTGATCATCTGAAGACGTATTTAAAGAAATTGTACTAACATTTTGGTCAGTAGGTGTTGTAGGAGTCGTTGTAGTAGTAGCAGCATTTACAAAATTAAAATTACGGATGCTATTGACATTACTGGTGCCTGGTTGAGTATTAATTGAGCCATTATTTCGATTTCTTGTTAAATCAATAATTCCGCTAAAAGAGAATGTTCTTGGAAGTAATTGAAGTATTGATGATGTTGAAGGTGCTGATGTTATTGTTGGTGGTGATGACGGCGGAGGTGGTGGTGGATTTGCTAGACCTGTATTTGTCACAGTATTAGAAGAATTGTTTCCTTTTGAAATAAGATTCTCTTCTAAACGGATTCCTGCAACACCTTTTTTTGGAACAACTGCTAAGTCCCTTTTAACGCCTCGTTTTTTTGCTGGATCGTTTTGTCTACGTTGCATCATTGTATCAAAATCAACTATGTAAATGAAACCAGCCACAAAAATAGTACATGATTTGTTATTAGACTTATACGCATTTTCAATTTCATTGCTTGTTCTTTCATCGTATTGCCACCAACCATTTCTACCTTCGTAGAACCATTGATATCCATCTTCCAGAGGTTTCGAATTTTTAACACTGCCCTTTCCATAAACTAATTGCGGATTGTCAATGGATTCCTTAGAAGTTTCTCTTCTACATAAAGCACAACGATGGCTTATAATTACTACCCCTTTTAAACATAAGAAACAGAAAATATGCCCACAAGGTAATTTCGTTGGGTGCACGGCAGTTTGCAAACAAACCGGACACTCAACATCTCCAACAGTTAAATCAATCGTTTTATTCTGTTCCATGTCTTCTTCACTATTATTCGTCATATCTGAAATCTATAATTGTTTTCTTTATTTTTATTTGAGAAATCCCCTTTTCAGTTCAACAAATTATTTTTATGTTACTTGACAGGAATAAAAGAAGAAGACTCGATTATAATAAGCTCATTCACAATGATTCTTAAAAATTAAACTATAAAATATTGATATAACGGAAAAGACTGAAATAACATCTAAATTTTCTTCTACATTTCTTAATTCGTCCAGTATTTCTTAATGCTGGTTGGCAATGATGACCTTACTATTACTAAGGTTTCAACCTCGTTTAAAAAAAGATGTTTAACTTTTCTGATGTTTAACTTTTCTGATAAGAAGGGTATACAACACTAATGGGCTTCCACTACTGTATAGTTAAGTTTCAATTTACTCTATGTGTGAGTTAGATATAGTATTGATTGAAAATTGTTAAAATTGTGTAATTTGAAAGTGTATTTACTTATTGAGTTTGTCCTGTTGTACATATTTTTTTTCTTTTTGCTTCAAGTAACATTACATTCCTACCTTTTTAAAGCTTTTTCAAGTTTTATACCAAGAAGACCTATTGTTAACTACATTGAACATTGTTAAAACAAATTTTTATAAAGTTTCTATTGTGAACAACAGAAATCAGCTGAGAAAAAATTATTTGAAGAGTGTGGATTTTCACGTAAATTTCATTTCATTCATAAATGTACAAATATTCTGATTGTAAATGTCAGTACTTCTCGGTTTAGAGTTTGGTTTTAGTCGAATAATTAACTCACGTTTAACTTCAAGCATAAAAATGAGCTTACCAAAAATAATTTCAAACAACAAGACAGCAGAGGAATTGCTAAATTCTTTAAAAGAAGAGGTAAGCAATTATAACTTCTTATCGTAAATTTTTAAATGACTGCGGTAAATTCTTTTCATTCCCAAGCTTAATTCAATTCGATCTGAGCTGATAGCGAAAAAAAAACGCGATTTGTTAGCCGAAAATATTGCTTTAACAAGTCAAATAGATATAGCGAAATCTCAGTTGATTGCTTTGGAAATTAAAAATGGTAAAAAGCAAATACCAATCCCGTATCAATCAGTAGAACCGGTTGTGCATTTAAGTACTACTGTTAATAATGATTCTGATGCAAGCCAAACTTTAGCTAAAGCAGAAACAAAACAAGACGAGAAGCCCCAAAAAGAAAAGAAACAAAAGAAAGAAAAACCAGTAAAAAATGAGTCTAATCCGCCTGCTGAGGCACCAATAGATGTTGGACGTTTAGATTTCCGAGTTGGAAAAATTGTGGAGGTTTCAAAACACCCAGACGCAGATAGTTTATATTTAGAAAAAATTGATGTTGGAGAACCTCAACCAAGAACCGTTGTGTCAGGTTTAGTGAAATTTGTACCGATAGAAGAAATGCAAAATCGAATGGTTGTTGTTTTGTGCAATTTGAAACCAGCTAAAATGAGGGGAATTACTTCTGAGGCAATGGTAATGTGTGCATCAACACCTGAAAAAGTAGAAGTCTTAAGTCCACCTCCTAATGCTGTACCTGGAGACTTAGTTTATTGTGAAGGCTATGAAAGAGCTCCTGATACTCAGTTAAACCCAAAGAAAAAGATTTTTGAAACCTGTGCTCCAGATTTAATGACTAACAATGATTTAGTGGCCTGTTTTAAAGGAACTCCATTACATGTACCTGGAAAAGGAAATGTTGTTTCTCAAACATTGAAAAATGTAAATGTAAAATAATTTTTTTAAATTTACGTTAATAAAATTTGGTTTGAAATTAGTAATTGCTAATTGTCATTGTAATTATATACACAATTGTCATTGTAATTATAATTATATACACAATTTTCATTGTAATTATAATTATATACACTATTTATTAAAAATTTCACTTATCAAAAGAAATTTAGAGGCATACATATTAATAAGTATTGTGCCTATAACACTAATTATATTATGAATTTACTAATACAACATCATAGTTGTGAAATTAATAAGTAATGTGCTTATTACACTAATAATTTTAACTTAATGGAAATTTCTTCATGCAACTGCAGAACAGATGGATGACGTAATCAAAGGAACGAGTTAAAAGCAGAAAAATTACAAAAATTTTCTATAAAGCAATCTTGAAAATTTACCTTTACAATAGATTTGAAAACATTGATTTTAATTCACATATAAAAAGTCTCAAATTGATATTCAAAAAGCAATGCTGATTAAAACGTCAATTTGAAGATGTTGTATCTTGCTTTGGGGTACATAATGTTTTTGCTAAATACAAAATATGGAATTAAAACGAAAATGCAAATATAAACAGGTAGAAAATTATTTAAAATACTCTACACCTACAGAATATTTTAAAATATATTTTTATTTTTTAATTATAACATGTTTTAAATTTAAATCGATTGTCTTTATTAGTAACACATTAATACGTAGTACATTACAGGATAAGTACCGAATATGATTGTTAACTCTTAAGAGTTTTATTTATATAAGCACATAAGAGAACATTAATGTTAATAACTGCTTTCTTTTGGAAAAGTACATAATCCTGAAGTTTTATTTTTCGTGTTTTTTCTTATGCTTGTTTAAAACAAATAACATTGGAAATCCTTCCCCGCAAATATTGCACTTAAATTTCATTAAACCCTCTGAATGGGCCATAAATTTGTGCTTTTTTAAATATGTTGATGACGTAAATGATTTATTACAATTTTGCTGAGTACAGATGAACTCCCTTAAGCCTGTATGTTTTGCCAAATGAGTTTTTAGATGAATCTTTTGAATAAATCCTAAATAAATTAGAAAAATTTAGAAATTCTGTTAATCCAAATTTCTAATTTTAATTATACATACATATATGTACATACTTGTGTACTTGATTATACATACTAAATTTAAAAAAATAAAATATTTATGTAAAAATTTATTTTATAAAATGAATAGACAAAGCCATGCATGCGTACATACTTACCTCTTCCACAATATTCACATTTAAAATTTTTTTCATTTGTATGTTTTTTAACATGAACCAATAAGTGGCATTTCATAAAAAAGGATTTATTACAGTATTGGCATTTCAATGATTTCTCTTTAATATGTTTTTTCTTATAATGTAAATCACATTGTTCTTTGTTAAAAAATTTTTTATTACAACTGGACTCACGGCATTTAAATATTTTTGCCCAGTTATGGTCAAACCTTTTATGAGCCAAAAAACTTAAACGACTTTCATAAACTTTAGAACAAATTTCGCATTCGTAACCTCGTTTAAGGGAACATGTATTCATCATATTTTCATAAGATTCAGGATGGATAGTTTTATAATGATGTTTTAGCGATTGTCCATAAACATAAACTTTATCGCATTCACGGCATTCATATCGAAATGCGTGAGTTTTTTTATGGTTAATATATTGAGATGCAGTTTTAAAATCTTTATCACAATCTAAACAATGGTAGTCCTTCGTTTCACGATGAAGTCTTTCGTGTTGATTACGATTACTAGCGGATTTAAAAGATTTTGAACAAAATTTACACAAATATCTATTTGTTATATAAGGGTGAGTTATTTTAATATGTTCATGGCATGCAGTCATACTATTCAATTCAATTTTACATACTTCACATTGAAATTTTAATTCATCTCTAATTATTACATCTTTTGAAATATTGTTAATTGTTGAATTTAATTTATCATTTTCATCAATGAAATTTATATTCAAATCATTTTTATCTATTGAAATAGTGTTATCAAATTCAAAGTTATTGTCTTGTGTTGCAATTACGCATTCTTCATTATAATTACAATTATTGTTAGAATAATATTCATCCAAATTTATGTTTTTGCCGTTATCTTCTTCTTCTATAGTCATCTCATTCAAATTTTTTATGCAAACGATGCCATTCAAATTACCATTGGTGTTTAAAGGATCATTATTTTCAGAACTGTTATACAACTGCACAAGTTCAACAGTTTGAAGAGATACTGTTTCGTCTTGGAATATGTTATTTAAACAATTGGTCAGTTCATTAACTGCAGGTTGATTATCGAAATTTTCTATTTGAACTTTAATTAAATTAGATTCATTATGATTTTCATTTTTATTGCAAAATTTTTGAGTTTTTGCTTCATTTATATTTTCAAATTGCATATGAACTGTTTCGATATGATGTGCTATTAAATCATTATCTAAGAATATTTTATTACAAATCTTACATTTATATTTTTTGATGATTGCTGTTTTGTTAGTGTTTTCATAGAAATTTTCAATAAGTGTTTTATCATTAGTAATTACATAATCTTTTGAAGAATTGGCTAATTCTTCCCAATATTGATAATTATTTTTTAAATTAATTTCTGACGTACTATTTTTAATACCATTATTATTAACCAATGTTGATGATGATTCATATAAACTTGTTGAATAGGAATCAATAGTTTCTGTTAAAATTAAAGATGAATTGTCAATTCTTGTCTTGTCTTTTAATAAATCGGAAGTTATTTCAATGTTAGCTTCCTGTTGATATTGCTGAAAATCATTATTTTGATTTTGATAATGACAAAGAGCACGCAATTTTTGGTCGGAATTTGTACAAAGTATTTTAAAAGAATAACATTCTTCAACTTTGTTTTTGCATTCAATGCATATAGTATGAGGTAATGAATCATTAATATTTATATTAATATTAAATAATCTAATTAATTTTTCATTGATTTTTTCTTCAAATATATTGTGCATCATTGTTGTGCCATTTTCATCATTATCAGTATAGTTCTTCCTTAGACAACAGCGACATATTATATTCATTTTATTTTCCTTAAATTTTTATTGTTTAATTTATAATTACAATTTTGTAGATAAAGTCTTAAATTATAAGATTTTATTGATTATATAATACTGTTATGAATAAAGTTCAAAATTAAAATATTTCCTTTTCTGAACTATTCAGGATCACAACACATTAATAACTGTCCCTTTGGTATTTTTATTAGAATATAAATTCAAACACATGCATACATTCGTTTACCTAATATAATAATATGCTTAGTATGCTGTTAAATATTGTAGGGATTTTTTAAAATTCATACGTATAAAATACTAGCTCCATCTTTAGAAAGTTTGACTGTTATTTTATTTGATTCTTAAATCAGTTACTAAAATTATTTTAATTTGATTTGTAAATTTAGTTTTAATTTTCGTTAAGTTTATGCTATTCTCCTAAAGTACTTAAGTATACAAATAAATTTTTTTAAATGAATCTGGCAATTACTGCTGCGTACAATTTTTAGGATTAATATTATAATATTCTTAAATCCTACAACTAGATTGTATTATACAGAGCATATCTCGGAATTTTTTATGTTGGATACATATTATATCCTATTTATGGCAATTTGCATCGGAATTACTATGCTTTTCTTTTAATAACTTTATATTTTTTAGAAATAAAAAGATTTTTTAAAATTAAACCCTTTTTATTCTTTAAAATTAAACCCTTCTATTTTGTGCTCTAAGCTCGTAAAGTAGATTTATTTACATATAAAATACCATACATGTATGTATGTAGGCAAGTACGTATTCATTATAACTATCTGTCTAGAATTATTGTCCAATCGAAACAAATAATTTATGTATGTACATATTTTTTTTTTATTATTTTTTTTATTATTGACACGCAATACTAATGGTCATTTTATGCTTTTTCCTTACCGTGGTTTTTTTATCTATTAAATTTTTTACTTATGATTTTTATTCAAAACATTTGATTGTTATGACGAAGGACACTAACGATTATATGCATACTATATAGAAGACTGTATATTATGTATGGAAAAACTAAAATTAAACTATTCAACTAAATCAACTAATAGTTTTTTTCTTATGTCTGAGGCTTAATAACAATATTTTAATGACTATAGCTAATAATAATAATATACAATATGACAATAAAATATAAAAACGAATAGTTAGAACACATTAAATCATTTAGGTTTGATACGTATCTATACTTCACTCCTATTATCTCTTATACATAGTGTTTATACGTATGAAAAGGAAAAGGCTTTTACTATAACAATTATTTAATAGTAAACCGTTAAAAATATTAAACGTTGTAAAAATTTTTAGGATTTTTTATACTTGTATATCCTTGTGTTCTATATTGTTATAATATTTGACTAAGCTTCAAATTTTACATTGTATAACAAAAAATAACTATTCGTAGACGTAGTCATTTCAATCAGCATTGCACTTATGATATAATATGTAATTTCATTTTATAAAATTATATAACCACCGTAAGTAATAAATATAAATATTTATATTTTGCTGAAATATTTAAATTTTGCTTTAAAATGTAAATGGAAACGTGGAACTAATAATTAAAAATGTCTTATGTAACGTGATCATTTTGAAATGATTATTGGCCGTATATCAAAATTTTTCGATGAATGAGGGAACAAACCACTATTTTTGGTCACAGTTTTATTATTAAACATTGTTTAAAATTTTTTAAATTTTAATAAATAAACATTTGTTGTTGTTTATATTTTATAAATAAATTATTTTTATTATTTATTTCTAAATTATTTTACATTTAAATAGACAATTTAACTTTTATGATTACAATGTAAAAATTTTACAAAAACATTGTGAAAATAAATGTATATAAGTTTTTTAAAAACACAAAATTTTCTGTATAATAAGGAACAGGACACGTAAATAACAATACATTTAATGTTTAAAATTAATTTTAATAATAAGTATATTTTTTTTTTACTATAAAATATATATAATCAAATATTTATATTCAAATATTATAAGTATTCAAAAAACAAAAAAAAAAAAGAAATAAACAATGGAAATTTTCATTTAAAAACTAAAAAAGGGATGCACATTGAATAGCTCTGTATGAAATTGATAATCAACAAGCATCAAATTTTAATTGAAAATGAAAATTTTATCTGAAATATTAAACTATTCTGAAAATTAAAAAATACAATTCAACTTATTTATACTAAATATAATGTGCAAATGCAAACCCAAAAATTCATCATTCATTTTAGAAGATAATAAATATTTAAATTTTTTAAATTATTTATTAAATAATTTTATTTATTATTTAAAATTTTCTAAGATATTATTCTAAATAATTTTTATTCTTTTTATTAAAATAGAATTAAATGTTTTAAATAATTAAAATAAAATGCTTTGGTTTTTGTTTCTTTAAAAGAATGTATGGAAGTTTTGGAAAATAAAATAACTTTGAAAATTGTTAGATTTATAGTTTAAGTAAAAATGATTTTTAATGTTACTCTCGTTTTGATTTCATTTTAAACAATACAAATAGCTATTAAAAATTTTATTGAAAACTCAAAAATTTGAATCTTTTTTTTAAATTTTCGAACTTTTCAAAGCATAATTTGCTTAATTTTGTGTGTTTTTGTCACTATTGTAAATTATTTATTTTTATACTATTTAACGGAATAATTTCGTTTTATACTTTTAAGGGAAAAGAGTTGATTTTAACAAAGTTTCCCAAAGATTTTTATAAAACAAAATTAATACTTCCAATTAAAAATATAAAACAAAATTTTAAAAATACCTCCAAGTTCATTGAAAAAATGCATACTATATAAAAAATATAAATGTTTGCGAGTTATTACTTTAAATATTTAAAATGTGCGATCCCGAAGAAAGTAATAACATTTTAATTTTATTAGACTATAACTTTAACAATTTTCTCTCGTTAACTACTATTTTTTTTTTTTAAATATTGGTGTTAACTTTGAAACTTTTCCTTCTTTGAAGTCAGTGATGATAAATTTTTTTGATTGAAATTTTTCTTGTGAGAAATTAGGAATGTCACAACTTTATAAATATAATAATTGTAATACCTTCGAAAATACTTTTTCAACAATATTGAAATTACATTCATACTTAAAAACTAATAAAATTTCAAAGTTTACAACCATAATAATAATAATAATAATAATAAGGTATTTTGATTGGAAATTTTGGTCATGTAGGTCGTAAGATAAGAAGATCATAATATAACACATAGATAGAAGGTTGGATTAAAAAAAACTATTATGTATAAGATTATAACTTGTGATTTAAATTAAATCCATTGGGGTTTTGACTTTGCCAATTCCATGTATCTTCACACATCTCGTTAATACCCCGTTTAGCGGTCCAGCCTAATTCTTTAGCTGCTAGCGTTGCATCCGCATAGCTTGTTGCAATATCACCTAAAATAAAAAAAAAATATTAATATTCAAGTTTAAGAAAAACAAAAATTTAGATATGAGTATTAAAATAATATATACATAGATATTTGTTTTATGAAAAAAATTAAAAAAATTACAAAGAAATAAAATTGTTATTTTAATACATACCAGGTCTTCTGGGAGCTAATTCATATTTGATTTTGCGATTAGATGCCTTTTGGAAAGCATTCACCATTTCAAGTACAGAAAAACCGCTACCTGTACCTAAATTGTATGCAACAAAGCCTTTGATTGTTTTTGTTTTTAATTTATCTAGTGCTTTTACATGACCTTCAGCTAAATCAACAATATGAATATAATCTCGGACACCAGTACCATCAGGAGTTGGATAATCACTTCCGTAAACTTTCAGTAATGGTCTTCTACCAACAGCTACTTGTGATATATATGGCATTAAATTGTTTGGTTCTCCATTTGGATCTTCACCAATTTTACCGCTTGGATGTGCACCAACTGGATTAAAGTAACGTAGTGAAATTACAGACCATCTCTTAAATTATTTTTAATTTAAAAATCCTAAGTTAATATCTTTTTATAAAAAAAAAATCAAAAATAAAACTTACTGGATCCGATATACAAAGATCTTTTAAAATTTCTTCTGTAAAATATTTACTTTTACCATAAGGACTGGTACATTGTCCTGTTGGGTGATCTTCAGTTAATGGTAATTTTTGTGGTTCACCATAAACTGTTGCACTTGAACTGTATAAGAAATGAAATACATTATATTCAGCCATTACTTCAAGTAAGATACTCGTTCCAGTAATATTGTTTTGATAATAAGTCAAGGGTTGTTTACATGATTCACCAACAGCTTTTAAAGCCGCAAAGTGTGCAACACAGTCAACCTTTTCCTAAAATAATTGAAAAATATATATTATGAAAATTAAGATGTCTTGAGCATAATACACAAAAAAAATTTGAAAAAAAAAATATATTTTAATATAGAGATTTTTTTCTTCAATATTTTAATATAGTGTTATTTTTTTACCCAAAACAAAATTTTCTTAACTTTAAATAAATTTAACAATTATTATTATTTAAGATTATTGAACTCAATCAATTCAAACAAAGATATTTAAAAACCTTATATCTTCCTAATTATAATTACGACCTTGAGCCATCCTCAACAAAAAAATTATACTGTACTTAATTTATTTTTATTTGAATATTAAAAAAAAAGCTTTGAAATTACATAGTCTACCTTTATTGAATGATTAATTCTCTCAAAAATGAATACCTACAAATTTTCATAGTAATAAGTGAGAATTTATCATTTTTTTATTTTTTTCTTATTAAAATTTTTTACTCAAGATCTCAGTTCACAATTTACATAGTTATTCTATAAATCAAAATAAAAATTTATTCTAAAGTTTTTACTTAAAACGCAAAATGTCTGATAAGAAATAAGGCTTTTTAAAGTGCACAGTAAAACGCAGTCGCCTTTTTTAGTTTTTGAGGTCAAATTGAATTCATAATAATTAAAGATAACAATTTTTTTTTTAATATTATAAGGAATACAGAATATGATTTAAAGTTAAATATTTGCAAGCATAACATGATCACTTGAATCATTTGACTGAAATATTGAATTTTACTGCTTATATTATGCTCTTCTTATATAATTTATGTACCTAGGTACTTGATTTGTATAAATATATTTAAACATATTTTTTTTTTTTTTATAAAACTAGGTATGTAATCAAAAAGCACAGTAAAATTTTCATTTTTTATTTATCAAAAAACTCAAGTTTGACCTAAAACGTTATGAGATATTAAAAGATAACAAATTATAAGCTTTAATGATTTGGGAATTCAACTGATAATAAAATACCATTGAAAAGTTCTAAACATTTTATTTTTTTCTACTAAATAAATTAATTTTTTTAGGAAAAAAAAAATTATAGCAACAAAAAATTATAGAAATCACGAAGCTATAAACGATTTTATTTTAATTTTTATAACGTACTTATAATTAAATAATTCTTTTATCAATAATTTTTTGTTACAAAAAAAAAACGCTATACTCATGATAATGTGAAAAAAAAAATGATAAATTATATATAAAAATAAATTTTACTCCTCGTAGCTTTTTCTGATACAGGAAATTCTACAAATTGGGTTATAAAAAATAACTGATTAAATTTATAACTAAACAAGTTTTGAATAAAGCATAAGTAACTATATTGTCACTATCTAAATTCAGAAAAATTATTTTTAAAAAAAGAAGAAGATAAAAAAAAGAAAAAGCAAAAATAGAGAGACAATACTCAAAAATTATTCAGCGAATCAACATAATTTAATAGCAATTTATTGATTAATATTTGAATTGAATCTCTATTTTTAAATTAAAATTATTAAAATATGAGCTATTAAATATAATGTTCTACCCATATTGTTAGGAACAAAAAAATAATTTCCGGATCAGAAATTCAATGAAATTTAATCTAATTTGTGGTTACATACAAAATTGTTATGTAATGTTACAAAATCTTCACAATTATAAGAATATATCTAGTTACTTTTCAACTGGCACACTTACATAAAATTTTCAAAAATATAATAAACAACTAAGTTTCTTTTCAATAATCATGAGTTGAAGATAACAAATACTAACTATTATTTAATAATGAATATTATATTAGAAAAGTTTACTTGTTTTAAATCGATAATAATTATAATTTTTTAGATTAATTTTCATTTCGAAAACAAACTTGTTTAAAAAGTTAAAAAATGAATTTCGGTACAAGTTTAATTTATTAAAAAATAAGGCCGGATTTTTCTAATAAATATTTACTGTATAAAAGTAAACATTTATTCAGCTTTTTAATCATATTATAATTACAAAACTTTTGAATATTTCATATGCATCACGTATCTAATTTAAATATTGACCCAAAATTATTTGATTTAATCATATTGGAAAGAGAAAATCTATCTATGAAATTGTTTTTTGGCTTTGATAAAAAGTAATGTAAAAGTATAGAATTCTAAAATTCGAAAGCAAGCACACGTACAAATAGAACAAAATATTTTTTGTACGTCATATAGTTATTTACACATGTTTATTACTTTTGTATTGTACATTCAATTGAAGTTTTTGAAATGTTTACTTCCACGTAGATATAATTATTATCGCATCATCAATATAAATTCTGATCTTAAAATAATAAATGATCAGAAAAAAAGAAGAGAATACAAATAGCACACAATATAAAAACAATAAAAAAATATATTTATATGATCAAAATTATACAAGTATTACAAGTATAATATTACCTTAGCGAATACATGTCGTAATGCATCTTTGTCTCTGATGTCAACTTCATAGAATTTTATTTGTTTTCCGGTTAGTTCTTCGACCCTTTTTAATGCTTCTGGCAATTTTGTATTTGACTCTTTGAAAGCATTACACATATTATCTAGGCATATTACTTTATATCCAGCATTTAAAAGTTCAACTGCAGTATGTGACCCGACATAACCAGCACCACCGGTAACTAACACAGTTTGAGTCATCTTCTTTTTTTTTATTTTATTTTAAATTTCTTATTCTGAATCTCCTTGATTTTTTATCATACAAATTTTAGAATTATATTTTTTATTTGTTTTTTCCAAGAGGTCATAAACTTATTTAAAATTTATAATTTACAATTTTTACGTATGTATATTAAGGTAATTTATTTTTTCAAAAAAAAAAAACCAAAAAAAAAAAATTTTTTTTTATGCACCTTATCAACTTTGAAGAATGAAAATAAAGCTATATAGAGAAAATTATTTTGACCGTCGACAGCGACAATGATCGCGAAATTAAGAATAATAATAATAAAAAAAAAACGGAAAAAAATTGAAATTGTTCTTCCAAAAATATTATTCTAAAATCCGTCAGAAAACCAGAATCATATATTGATTCGGTTCAACTAGAATATGATGACTGGTTGTTCTCAAGAGAACTCAGCTTATTTTTCTTTATGAATATTTGTATCTACGCTCACAAATGATTTTTATACTTTTTGCTTTTATTTTTCGTTATTTAATTTTTTTATTATATTACTACATTGATTGGCATAAAGCACTTTAGAGAACAAGCACACGATAATGATTCTCAAATGAATATTTGGTTTGTTCAGCTTATCAGTTAAACATTCTTTAAGTCCAATATTATTAAATAACTACATATTTGTAAACTATTTGTTTTGTTTTTTGTTATTGCAGTTGAGGAGATATTGTATTTGCACGTTCACACCTTATGGAAAACTATTAAAAATCATCAATGTTTCATATTTTGCGGTTTTCATGATCACGTTGTGTGGTGCGATTTTTTTGTAAATATGTACCTAGAATAATTTAAATTAAGTATGTTTATTATTTTTCCATTTTGTTTTTTTTTTTACAAAGATAAGCTTTTTAATTTGGAAAAGAGAAAATTTACAATGATTGCCTTGCCTTTTAAAAAAGAGATATGAACTTGAAATCAAAAAAAATTTTCTATATATTTTATTCACAGAAAACCAGAACTACAAATGTAAACAAATATATTTTTTTTTTTGTTGTTTTTGACTCGAAAGAGAATGTCAAATTGACAGTTAAGCAATGTTTGAAAACATCTGAAGTTGTCATAAAATTATAAAAACTTAAAGCTTTTCAATTGACGGAAATTTATAGAAAATAATTTTAGGTTTAGAGCTTTTTTTACTATAAAATTTAAATTTCGTAAACTGTAAAATGTTTTAAGTTCAGAGAGCTCCAAATAGAAATTATGTTATGCATTCATGTGTGTAGTACATTCAATAAAAACGAAATTTCCTCAGGCCAGCATGAAAATGTAAAAATAACCGGCAAGTTATTTTGTACCGTTCAGGAAATAATTATATCAATTAGCCATCTCAAATATATAAAATTTTAAATTTTTGCAATTTAAAAATTGACAGTCAGAAATTATGGTTTCTGTTGTTTAAAATGACCGCATTGTTCTTCTAGCAAAACAAAATTGTAGCGGATTGCATTTTTGTACCGTACGTAATTGCATTTTATGCTTATCGTTATAAAAATATGAATGAAAATAACCTTTTAGCTCCAACATCGTATTTTTGAAATTATAAATTCGAATCCGATGCGGTTTTCACCAATTTTTATTGACAACCGCATGTCGAATAACGCTTCCATTGTGGTTAGTACTAAGCATGAACAAATGATTGTTGTCAAATTTACTGTTTCTTAAGTAAGTTAAGTACTTAATAACAATTATTTTGTTTATAGTGTTCAAAATCAGACATATTTTTCTTAAACCAAACGGTATAGTTATTATGCATTTGTCTGGATTGCAATTTACAGAAGTTAATATATATGATTTATATATATCATTAAAAAAACGTGAACAATACTATATACATATATTATACTCTTGTATAATTTTTTTGCAAAAGAAGTTTATTTGAAACTAAATAAGAAATTTGTAATGGCATGTTAAAACTAAATATAATTGCAGTGTTTCTAAATTTATAAATTACATAAGTAAGTATAAAGATATTTTGAATAAATTAAAAAGAAATGATGCTACAATATTTGTATTAAAATAATTCAAGTTAAATTTTAATTCATATTTAATATTTGAAGAAGCATTAACTTGCGCTAATCTTACTTTAGAACAATATAATATAAATAGAAATTACTTTAGAACAATATAATATAAAGTGAAATATTAAATAAGAGATTTCAATTTATGCGTACAGTAGGTATATGAAGTAGATAATACAATTACTATAGTTATAGTTGCAATATATACATATACATATTTCTACGTTTAAACTATATTTTAATATCAAGTTCATGAAGCAGAATATTTCTTTCACTGAGAGTTGAATTGAGACCTACAATAAGTGAATTCTTTCATATAAAATTCTTGTAATGGTATTTTCGTTTTATATTTTTCTTTTTGATTTGACCATTTTACTTTATTTTAAGAAATGTTATGTATGACATTACTATGAATGAGTTTTATTTTGAGAGTTTATCAAATAAGTATTGGATCAATTTGTGAAAGTATTATGATTAAATTGACCATGAGAATACATAATGTACATAGGTTATATGGTAATCAATTTTATCATGTACTTTTCGAAACGGATGGTTCTTACGAAATATATATATATTGTATAAGAATTTTTATGTAATTTTTTTTATTACTTTATGTTTTATTATATTTCTATTTTGAGATATTTGACATTAACAACTAAAGAAAATCACGTAGAATATGTTAAAAATAAAAATGCAAAACAATCTTATTATCACGCTCTTTCTGTAATTTCAATTATTTTTCTGATCTGTCCAATGGGGCGCAATGATAATGGTAATGGTCCTCTAATCTAAAGGGTCTTGGGTTCGAAACCTGGTCAAAATCTTATAATTATTATTATATTAAATATTATATAGTTTAATATAAGTAAGTATGTACAATATTAAAAAATAAAATGTACATGACCAAAATGTTCGAAAATGAATACTAACAAAAATAAGCAATAAATAATTATTATTAATAACCTTTAAAATTTAACATAAAGAAAGAACTATGGCAGTACAGTATCGCGGCTAGTTCATGAAGTTTTACTCTAAGATTTAATTGGAAGATTCTAATGCTAAAATTGTTTTATTGTGTGTATAACAATTTATAAATTTATTTGACTATTATTGTGAAAAACATATTGCTTTTGGTTAAAAAGTTTAAAAACAAAAATTGTTTTTTTTTTTTTTATACAATTTTTTATTTTTAAACACAAGTTTTTATTAAAAGAAGAATGATGTGGAGAACAATACCTTATCATGTGGTATATTATAAAAAGTATTATATTTGAGTCTGTTTTTCTTTTCCTCTTTTCTTTATTCTTTTTTTTTTATTTCTACTTTTTAATACTAGTTAAGTATGTGCAAGTATTCTTCGTATTCATTATTTTTATTTTCCTTCTGTTTTTTTCGAGATTAAAAATATTTTTAGGTCTGTTTCGTTAGTTCCCTTTTTTGTTTTAAAATGAAATTGAAAGTTAAACGAGATGGTAGTAATACTGTCTAGCTAGTGCTTTACGGTTCGATTTACTTTTTTTTTTTGTTGCTCTTAACTATAATTTCAATTTTTTTTTTGAATTTAGTTTAAAATATATTAAGAAACATTTTTATAATAACAATATAAAATTGTGCGGATTGCCAGTATAATAAATGTAAAAACAAATTAATATAGAAAAGGGGAACGAAAAAAAAATTTATAAATTTGACAAAATATTTTTTTTATAGCCAATATAAAATAATATCAGCGAATACTAACAACAATTTCACTTTAATATTGAATATATAGTTTCGAAAATCAACAAAAAACAAAAACATTGTTATCATTTATTTTAAATTTTTTGATATCAAATTTTGTACTGAAATTGTATACAACTCCCGAATAATTTAATTTGATTTATGAAATATGTACACATATAAATACATGTATTTCAATTAAATGTTTAAATGTCGCGGATTTAAATTGAATTGAAAATTATTCAAAAATGCTTAAAGAATTTAAGTAATCATATATTATATTCGATTCTGATCAATTGTTCTATATGTAAAAAGGCACATGAATTTGTTATAATTTCAGCTAAATCTGTAATTGTTATCTTAATACAAATTTAACCATAAATTAAATTAATTATTAAAATTATTTTTTACTTGTTATGGTTATATTTTATTTTAAAATTATTTAATTATTACATAAACTCAATTATAATATAAAAATAGAACAATTCTAAATTTTTTAAATGAATTTTTTAATTTCTCATGTAAACATGATAACATTATTTTTTGTTAGAATATTGTTATATTTAAAATTTGTTACATTGTTTTTAAATTTTTCTAACTATTCTAAAATACATACCATATAATCTCATTTATTATTGTTTATACTATTAGATTTTTATATAAATGATGTTATTTTGATAACACAATTATAACTAATTATGATTCTGTGTTCTTCTTTTTAAATAATTTGAAAAAAAAAAATCAAATATTATTCTTTTTATTAATCTAGTTGAATTAACAATTCGGTTGGTAACATTTTGGAAAAATATCAAAAAAAAAAAAACACTAAAATAAATTAAGAAACGGGAAGCTGACTAAATTAGTACAAAAATTGATTAGAATTGAAATTGAATTTTGTATTTTATTTTTATTAATTTTGAAAACATTGTAGTAAAATCGAACTAATTATTTATTGCTATAGTACTTTTATATAATAAATTTAAATATAAGAATAAATAAATAAAGATGATTTCATCAATAGTTCGTGGTTATAAAGGGTAAGGAAATGTGATTTTTTTAAATTTATACTTGTGTTGTAATATTTTACATAACATTTTTAATAAACATAAAAATGCGAAAATTTGTTAGTTTTATCTTAATTATATTTTGTGATTACGGAATTAACTATAACGATTCTGGAATCTGCCAGATAAAATTAACTTTCAAATAAAATTGAGAAAAGTTAAAGATTCTTGCATGCAAAATGTGCGAATAAACACTTAAGTAAATACTTTTTTGTAGACTTGAGACCGATAACCACTGTTTATTAAATTTTTGTTTTTTTTTTTTTTAAATATTCAAATAATTTAATACGCATATGTTGTAATTTATAATGGAGAAGCGTATACAATAAATGATAATTAAAATATTATTGATAGTGTATTTATAACGTTAATGAAAGACAAATAAAACAGAGAAGAAATTTAAAGTAAATTTTATATTAAATGATAATTCGTTTATTGAAATACTTTTACTCGTAACATAACTAATTTTATTTATATTTATGTATTATTTTTAAAAAAATATAATCTACTACTTAAAATGGAATCTTTATAATATATTAAAATTATTTTATGAAATAAAAAATTATTGCATACTTTTTGGAGAATAAACAAGAATTCAAAAATGTGCTAATATGATGGTCGAATTCGATGGCTAATTAGGTGAATTATTTTGCCAAACACACTGTACATATATAACAATTATATTTTTTAATGGAAATTTACTAAGCTATAAATTAATAAATTAAGCAATTTTGCTTTTATAAAATTTGTGAAAAGCTTATACAATTCCAGAAATATGAGAAATCGGGAACTGAAATTTTAATTGTTTTGGGGGAAGTAATTTGAAAGGAAAACGAAAAGAAAATTTCTTCTTACGAAGTAAATCATATATCTATGTCGAGAAACTGCTTATTTTAGATTTCTATACAACTTAAGAGAAAAGTCTTATACTGTGAGAGAAAAATTATATCAAAGATTTGAAATAAAGGAATTGTTTTTGTCGTTGTATTGTTTGATTATGCAGCGTGTCGGTTGAAATCGCTACATTTTTGCGTTTGAGAAATTCAAAAAATGTGTGTGGTTATTAAGAAATGATATTTTTATGGCTATTACTTTTAAAGCAGGGGAAAATTATTTCTCCTAGAGAAATAAATTCGATTAAGAAATAAGTCGAGCCACATATAAAAGTTCAATTTGCTGTCTCTTAAATGGTGTTCAAATGTAACGGACATACATTGGTCAGATCTTAGAGTTGCTTGAATCTTTGATATTTTTAAGTTTTGAATATTTGAAAACGCAATATGAAACTTTTTAAAACAACAACGTAGGTTGATTTGGATTTAAAAAGTTTTATGTACTATAGAACAATTCAATGGAATATTTCAATATTTGAGTTTCTTCCTGAAAAACATATAATAAAAATTAAAAGAAAACCAGTATATTCCTATATACTCGTACATATAACAATTTCTTATAAAGGTGGTTTTTATATTATCATATCTAGTATATTAGTATCTCTAAAAGAAGACCTAAAGTTGACCTATTTTTTTTCATTTATTTTTATCTTGCTTTATATACTAGTATTTTTCATTACTTTATGCTTGTTTGTGTGTCAGTATTATGTTAGCTTATGGTAATTTGATGAACAGGAAATTTGATTCATATATACGAGTAGTATTTTAATGTCGATATTTGAATATGCATATGTGTAGCAGTGTAGCTTCTCAACATTAATACAAATATAACATATAAATTTAATATATATGATATATATGATAGATAAACAGTGTAATGTGAGTTATACTCGTAATCAAATATAATAGATTAATATTAATGGACATAAAAAGAGAATAATAATATTATTTAACATTTGGGGAGAAAGTTTTTTATTTTCCCATTATCAAATTTTATTATTGCTATTATGTAACAAAATATGCACTTACATACACATGTAGGCATATTATTGTTTGTATAAATGTATAATAAAGAAGAATATAAACATGCAACATTAAATTAAAATTTTTGTGTATCGGAAATTTAAAATGCAATTTAAACTTAAAATTATTTTATTACTATTTTTTTTTTTTATAAAAATTTGTTATTTAACTTTGTTAGATGAAAAGGAATTCTTTAGCGTCATAATGCATTCAAAGAACGTCATTTAGCGTCAAAGTGCATTAATGACGTCGCATTACGTCAAATTTAAAACAAAAACAATTAAGTAAAATATAATATAGCGATAAAAAATAATTTAAATCCACAGATAACAGTATTTTTTCTGTCAAAAACTTAAATTTCTTTCATTCTTTCAAAACTTTCAAAAAATTAACAAAATTTTAAAATCTTACAGATTAATTCTAGTATTTTATCAGCAGTTCTTTTTTTTTTGTATAAAATTTTTAAGTGCTTGTATACCACGCGTGTATACAATCACGTACATACACACATGAATTTTTAAATACATATATATTATATGTATAATATACAACAATAACAACTAGTGAACATACCTGTTAGAAATAATTTGTAAACGTTTTAAAAAAATTTTGTATCAGTTTATGAATTTTATAAAAAGCTTTGAATTTCAAAAATTAAAGTTTGTTCAGCACAAATCTTATTGTTTTTGGAAATTTTTGAATTTTTGTTGTTGTTGAAGTTTTTTAATTCACTGAATAGTTCTAATTGTATTATCAAATATGAAGTTTGTTTTAAATTTTTTTCCGGCAGATGGAGCTAAAATTAAATTTTCAAAAGTAACGGTAAATTATGGTATAAAACTTCGTATAACTTAAACTTGAACTTGAACTATTATAATAAACTTAAAATAATTAAAGAAAAAAAAGGAAGAAAAAGCTCCTTTTGAATGATATTATGCATATAATAAATGTTTATACGAAATCCCGAAAGATGTCATTGTAACAATTATTAGTTTTGTTTTTTTTAGTTTTTGTTCTTGTTCAAATTTCTCATTTATACTCGTACTTTATTCAAATGCATAAGTGATTGGATTATTTGTAATTTTTCATGATTTTTACGATATAACGAAACGTTTTTTTTTTTTCTGTGGAAATCTTCATCGAATTTCTGTAAAATGTCATTATTTATAGGCCCTCTTATTTCATAGAAATTACGAACGTTATCAAACTTTTTGTGAAAAAGTAAAAGGAAATGAATTCTTTGTTAAAAACTATTATTCCATAATATAACTTGGCTTAACTGCGAATATAATTTGATCTTTATCCTATTTTTATAATTTAAAAATATTCATATAATATTCCTCCTGAGTGTATGCAACAAGATATTGTTAAAGGCGAATATATTTTTATGTTATATAATATCTTATTCATTTTTTTAGTCTTTAACATCTTATAAGTATTTTAACCCTTTTTCGGTTAAAATAAAAAAGTGCTACTTTATAAACCTTTGTAGTACGGTCAATGATATTTTAACAAGTGTTTTATTCTTCTCACTCTAAAAATATTATTATAATAATATTGATATATGCAGTTTTATTTTAACGCTAATATTCAATATAAAAGGTTATTGTTTATATATCAGTCAGTTAAATTATTTAATTAAATAAAATCTATAATTATAGATTTGTAATTAAATACTCTTGCATTTACTAAAATATTACATATTTACATTACTATTTCGTATATAAATATTAAACATACTGATATCATGTTAACCTTAACAGATATTTTTCGGATAAAATTTTTATAGCTATTATTTATAATAGTAAAAGAAGTCATTTTGATAACTTTTGATATTAAATGAGGAAAATTAGTATTAGCATGGTGTGTATATGAGTAATTGAATATGAAAGTAGATTGAAAGTTTCATCAATCTGATTATAAATATGTTTTGCGGTTTAAATTATTTTTTATTATATGTTCTCTGAAAATTTTTTTATAATATTAAAATTTAATTAATTAAGTTGAAACCACTAATGTGGTAAAAATAATTTCTTAGTACATAAAATAATTAGTTCATAAGTATTGATCAAGAAGCATATGGTATGAAATTAAAATTGAAAATTACACTAAAAATGTAAACAAAATATTTGGGGTTAGTAATGTTATATTAAAATAGAATTTACAATTTAATATTATTGTGTAATAAAAATAATCATAATTAAATTTTAATGAATTTACATTGGTTTGTATGAATATTCTAATATGAAGGAATAAAAACTAATAGCTTTTCAAATTAAAAATTAAGAATATTTTCCATATGACAAAATACATAGCGCCATCTATGGATGTCATACGTTATACACCTACATAAATGGTACTGAAATGAAAGAAACTTTTACATACCTGCAATTTTTTACTGTAGGTAGAAAGATTTTCATCAAGAAAATTAACATTCGTATGCATAAAGAACGTCAAATTTTTGATATTTAAATTAATAGATAAATTTTTAATCTAATTTGATTAATTTTATCTAATCTTGATAAATTGTTCTATTTGTTGTACTATTTTAAATGTGAACATTTTACAACTATTTTGAATGACTCATTCAACAAATACTGTCAATAATGTATCGAGTTATGTCATGAAAGTGCAGAAAAAGTCAGATCAATTGTGTTTTTTTTTGTAAACATAATATTAACTTATTTGCCATTATACACGTCACCTAATTGTCTTGTCTTCAAATTTTCAGAATGATTTCAACAAAACATTTTGTAATCTTTCACATTTTCCTTAAATTAAAATTTTATTCAATAAAAATATATACGTGTGTCGTATATTTATGTGCATATACTTGAAGGTAAATATCAGTTTTGATTCTATTTGGCACAAATTCAATGAAAAATAAAAGCAAAAAAACCAGCTGACAAAAATTAGCTTTTATATTTGTAGGTTTTCCTTTTTTTTTTCTTAAATAAGATTTGTATGCAATCACTAAATGGCTGTTAATGCTTTTTTTTTTTAAACTATATTTTTATATGTATGTATTATTATAAAAATCTAACAAAAGCAAAAAAA